AAACGTGGATAAAATTTACCAGCCGTGTATTGCTGTTTCACCAACATATTCTGTCAGAGCGATGGAGTAAAAGGCTTAGTGATTCAGTTCAGCCAAAGGCTACAGAGACTTTCTGCAGTGTCGCGTGAGTTTAACATCAAAATGTATATTCCAGTAGATACCACGGTACCGGCACAAAATTACCATTTTGGAAGAACTTTGTTTGTGGCTTGCCCTATTAAAAGACATTCCCATTCCAAAACCAGTGCTATCAGTTTTTGTTTCATCGCTGACGATCTTCAACTTTTACTAGAAACCGAAATTGCTTGATCAGCTGCTAAATTGTGCTAAAGTTTGCGTATATATATAGACGGATAAAGATGGCACTATATGTATAACCTGAACAATCGTAGCAAGTTTTACTAAAGAAAAAAGTTTTAACTTATTAACATTGTACTATTAAAACTGTATGACATGGATTCTGTTGCATATATGGCAACACCATTTGCCTGCTGCAGAAATAGAAAAGTTTCCATGGAGCTGTCAAACAGTGATGTGCACGTGTGGACTATTTAAACAACTAAAACGTGTACAGTGAACACACACCCGAATGAACTCCGAACGACATTAATCTCGCTTACGCGGCGAATTCAGAGAACACATGCGATTTTGTGCTGCAACATAACTAAAATCAACCCACGGACGTACGAATGGTTATGGAAAATTGACATACTTAGTTAAACTATGATGAGGGAATATCTGTGCAGTACTGCAAGTATGTATGCGTATAGCATAACTGAGTTAACAGCTTCACCCGAGGAAAACAAGACGTTCATTTGCATGTACATTGGAAAGGACAAAATAAAATGAAATTATGTATGGACTGTATGTTTGTGCATGTAGTGAAGCACGGTAATGATATACTAGACTAGCTACAAGTCGACTCGTATTATACAGCTGCAAGGTTGTGCTCGAATCTCTTAAAATGCGGATTTTAGCGCTTGCTCCCTTGCTGGGTTCGGGCGCTCAAGCTCGACCATTCGTTTATTCACTTACTCGTTTTCACTTGTTTCACTCCTTTCAACTGATGTGAGACAAATTCCAATTCTTTACGATGGGAGTCGACTTGTAACAACACTGTAATAAAAAAGCAACAAATTCGTTATCTCAAATGACTAATTTGTTGGTTGTTTTAACAAATTTGCTTTAACAGTGATGTTTAATGATATGCATGAAACATAAAAAATTTTCCAGTTTTAAGTCATTTTAGGGCCTGTTTATATGTGCAAAAGTTATCCCGGTTAGCGAGAAAACGTTTCGACAAGTTTACAAGCGAGATCTCGCCTTGGTATGAAAATAATATGAAAAGTTACACTGCGTTCATATGAGACGAAAAGTTTTCCCGTGTACCGAGATCTCGCTTGTTGACAGGCAAGATCTCGGTGACCGGGATAATGTTTTTCCCTTATAACACAACTTTCCCGCTTAGCGGGATAACTTTCTGTCGTGTCAGCAACTTTTCAATTCAGTTGATGTTCAGTGCTATGTCACAGCCGGAAACTTTACCCGGTAAGCGGTATGACGTTTCTCTATATGAACAGAACAAAAGTATTTGGCTAGTCGAAACGTTTTCTCGTTGACCGGATAACTTTTCCCCATATGAGCAGGCCCTTAGGGGAAGATAATTTTATTGCAGCCAAATAAATGTTTCAGATGCTTGGTCTCTTTCAAAAATGAATTCGCCAAATATCTTCTCACATTTGCGGATAATTTTTAAAAGGAAAGAGATCATTCATATTTACCACAGTAATATAATGTGATTAATATAAAATATTTTTCCTCATTGAGTTCTTTTCATGTATATCATTAATATATATTATGTTAAATTAATTGCATGTTTTCCTGCGGGAATTCGTGGAAAGAGACGTCCATTCGCGCTAGTTTGAAAAACAGGTGTGTTAAATTCACTCTAAAAACATCCGGCTAGGCTGCCTTGCTTCATCTGCATGTATGGAGTTTGGTCAGGCAATGACACATAGAATATATTAAGCTAAAAGAACGTTTTCATCTATATGTACGCAAAATTTTAATTTTGTTTGTTTTTAGACACATTGTAAAAAATAAGCACGCTATGCGTACTTGTATCTATTCATTAAGCATTGAACTGCTCAAAGTATTCGCATTATTTCTATGAAAAAACTACATTTGTAGTTGTTTATATTAATTAACCTTACTCGTTATGATTCATGTCACAAAGAATGTTGATGCAAAATAATCATCTGACATTATACAAAGCAGAATATTAAGAGCAGATGTCCACTAAAATGGAGCAAAATCGAGAATTCGCGGACACATTCAAAATTTCGATTTTGCTCATTTTTGGTTTGCTGGTAGGCATTAGGAAGTAAACAAACGTGATATGGTTTGTTTTTCAAAAACCGTTAAAATTCCGAGAAATCCGAGGAAAACCGTTCGGCTGTCGGCGACCTCAAAAATATGCAAATTTTCAGTTGAATCAAACAGGTTCAAAAACAAGTAACGCATGCAAAGTAGGAAAAAGATGAGAAAACTATACGTTTGTAAGTCGATAGAAGAGATGTTTGAGACTTGATTTGGCATAAAATAATAATTTTAGCTATTAATTAAAACCTGACAGCTGATATTTAGAATCGTATGGTATTCACAAATAGCCAAAATTACGATGTACCGTTGCCACGCAAAAAACATTTTAACTAAGTGCCCCAGATTTTTTCCTCACGAAACTTACGTCATTAACTAATTATATGTTTTTCTAGAACATATAAAAAAATTAGTTTGGGTTATTGTATTTAGAGTTCGTACGGAGGCCGTGAATATTGGGTATTTTCGACATATAGCGTGACTGAAATCGACAAGTGTTTGTTCCTTCCGGTCGCTATTTTCTCATTCGTTTATATTTTCATTCGGAATTTAAACCCGAAAATGCCGTTAAAAATAAAAAGGCACCCTTTATTAGCAACTCACAGCGTTTTAGCAGTTACAGCATTTTTAGGAAGTGTCTCTAAAGAAGCTAACATCAAGTGAAGCAAGTAGAACTGACACGATTGGCGATCGCGCGCCACCGTACTGTACGATTAAATTTACTCTCCTGATAGAATAATCACAATATTTTTGGTTCTGTTTATATCTGGCAAAATTAGTGCAGTTTTTAAAATTAGGAATATTTGCGTGCGAACCATTAACACTATTTTTATTGCTGCCAATCAAAGTCAATAAAGTACCTAAAAATTTGTTTGGCAGTGTATTGCCCGATTTCCCTGTCGTGACTGTTGTCTCTATCATCGCGTTTCTAGTAACAATGGAAATAGTGGTAAAGAAATGTTTGATAGAATCACAGGAATTCTACATTTCTCGTTTTCTGCCTGTTTCCACCCTGCTCCAAGAGTAGATCGATGTGCAGGATATATTACGATGTGCAGGATATATTACGAATTGCTCAATGTTTTCCGATTTATGCCCTGTAATATCATGATTACAACTTAACAACTGAACGCATTCTGATGATTTGTTTTTAACTCTAGTATCATGGCCACAATGACCACCAACTATTGCGAAAAAGGAGCACTTTATATCCATGACGGCCAGACGCTTGGCAAAATCTATTTTTGGACATGCAGTATCAAACTTTCCAGATACGAAATCTACACGTTAATTACATCGCCCAAACGCTGTCTCAAGACAAACCGGCGCTCTTACCTGATGGTTTACTTTTCACCACAAAAGTGTTTAGGATTTCAAGCTGCAATATAGCAAAAACAAACCCAACAAACTGAATTATGTAATGAGAAAAAGGCCATAAAGTTTCAGTTTTAACCACCTCTGAATTTTATTACAATTTCTTTGTCTCTGTCCTCTGAGCATATTCAGTCAAACCACATGCAAACTAACAATTAAAAAAAACTGAAAATAATTTCGAAGTCATCCTTCTTTTATAGCTTAGTGAAAATGTGCTAAGTTTTGTCTTTAGTTAAAATAAGGGGCCGATTACGTGGAGGTTTTCAGCCCGGGATGAAATTTCAGCCTGGCAAACACGGATGAAATTTCAGCCCAAGGCCCCTATAAATTCAATATAATATGAATTTTACGATTACATGGAAAAAATTTCGAAGTGCAAACGAAATGCAAAATAAAGCCACTTAAACACTTGTTTTTTTTAGCCCGGGCTGAAATTATTTGCGATTACGTGGGATATTTCATCCCGGTTGACAGGGCTGAAATTCAGGCCGGGTTGAAACTTTCATCCCGGTTTTTGTCACCCAGGATGAGATTTTCAGCCCTGTCAACCGGGATGAAATATCCCATGTAATTGCAAATAATTTCAGCCCGGGGTAAAAAAAAATCGTTTAAATGGCTTTATTTTGCGTTTCGTCTCATCTTTAATACTTTATATGCAACCACAGTCTTACACAAGTCAAATAGTCAACTAATCGGCGTTTTAAATGCTCAAACAAGCGGAATATTGCCTTTCGTGATATCGTATGATTTCAGGCCGGGATGACATTTCATCCTGGGTTTGTTTTAATACTACAAGGAATAAATATTGCTCTGACTAAAACTCAGCCCAGGTTCAAATTGCCCATGTAAACGTGATGCTATTTCGGCTCGGTTTACCGGGCTGAAATTCAGCCCAGGCTGAAAACTCTCCATGTAATCGGTATAAAATATACAGAAATTATCTCGGTCATAGCACTATCTACTTAGTCTTAAATAAAGAATGCTGTGACTGCTAAAACCATGTAAATTGCTAATAATAGCCATTCTTATAAAGGAAATGCATTTTTGGGTTTAATTCCCGATGAAAATAGAAACTATTTATAAGAAAATAGCGACCGGAAGGAGCAAAACACTTGTAGATTTCAGTCACGCTATATGTCGAAAATACCCAATATTCACGGCCTCCGTACCAACTCTAAATACAATAACC